CTCCTGAGCCAGAGCGTCACGTGAGCGGTCGACGGCTCGGCCGCTGAGACTCGAGTGGTAGTGGGGGTCGCTCGCCGGAATCAACCCGAAATGTGCATCTAGTGCCGAGCACTGATCTAGAAGATTGAAAAAGACTGCTATTCCATCTGTCTTCACGCCAAGGTAATAATATCTATTAATAGGATATATAATTAATATTTTATAAATAAATAAAAAAGTAAAATGTCTGGTGTTAAAAATTTTTTCCTGTTTTTTACAATATCCTAATGTTATCCTAATGTTTTTTTACAATAGATCTGATGAAAGTACAAAGAATATTCAACATGACAATCAAAATGAATCAGTAATGGACATTCAACACGAATCTACAATGGATATTCAACATCATAATAGTCCCACTAAATCAATATTTGGCATCAGTCAAACAAGATAAGAAATAAATACATATTCTAATTTATATTAGCTTGTAAATATTATAAATACTCACATGTTTCAGAAAACAATCTAACAAAATAGACAAGCTGATTGTAAAGAGTGGGAAATATACTACAGAATGTTTGAGGAAACCGAGTTTACCAATCAATCGTGGATGAAGATGGTAAAATGCATTAATTATTATAGATACTTAAATAAACTTTTGCTACAGAAAAACAAGCGAATGAAACGCTTACAGAATGAAGTTACTATGAAAAAAAAATTCGGTAACAGATGCCTTAAATGTTCTACAGGTAAGCAATTGATCTTTTTTGAAACAGAATAGATAAAATCAGCTTAAAATTGATATCTGTTGCAGATTTGTATTGATATTTTAGCTCATATTATATATGTCGTACAATTTAAAAAAATATTTTTTATAAATAATTATGATCTCAAAGTTTGTTACAATAGTGTATCGTATAATATACAATAAAGCTTGATCTGCAATGTGTGTGCTCTTTGCTTCTTATTTCTTGTTTTATTCCTTACTGCGACTGTTTTATAAACAATCATGTTTCTTGTCACGTGTTTTTGGATTCTGTCAAAGGCTTTAAACTTTTATATCGGACGACAGAAAATAAAGAAATAAGAGATAAGAAATAAAAAGAAACAGGAAACAAAATGTACATTGTAGATTAGACTTTATACAATATATAAAACATATACAAACATATACCTTGGCTAAAACTATTAGGTACTTTATTAACCATTTTTTAACCTTTTATTTCGAAAATTGTTGTAATTGTTGGCATTTCTGCAATGATTGTAAACCATTCATCTACCACTTCTGTAAAATTTACGAGTCCTTTTCTCTTAGTGAGTTGTCCTAATATCGAACTCTATAAGCAATCACATGAAAAAATTGGGTAATTATTCAGAATACCTCCCTCACCTCCGATTTCGATGAAATTAGGCTTATTCGACGCGTTTTTGCACAAAACGAAAGAATCTGGCAGAAAAAAGTGTCGCTCTGCCTCGCGAACCGAGATATTTAGCGTTAAAGTTGACGACTCTGCAGGTTAGGAAATCTGTCATACCGACTATGTGTAGTGCTACCAGTATGCTTTCTTCATGCTCTCTGACTTCATGCGCATGCGTCTCGTTACTTGTCGGTCCAACAGGCACCAAATTTAAAATGTGTGCTATAAAACAAATAAATCCTAACCCATGTGGACAGTGGGGTGTATAGACAGTAATGCTTGGGTTCGGGCGGCTACGCCGCCCGAATGAAAAAAAAAAAACCTACCCGCTTGGGACCTAACCG